TTGCCGTGACTTCCCGGCTTTCCTTTAAGGAGGTGGTTAGTCCTCTGTGCCTGTGACCCATCCACAGACTGGAGAGCCACATCATGGCCACGGTGTGGACCTTTATCCCCGCCCGGCCTTACCGTGGGAAAAGGCTCTCGGGATATAGATGAGTGGAGACAAAGTTGAAAGAAACTTCCCGGCCAGCCGGTGGCCAGTCTCCGTGGCTTGTGTTGGGACTAGAGGCGCGCTGGCTTCAGCTCGCAAGTTGGAATTAAGAAATATGTCCGAAAGCCTAGTAATTTCAATCATACTCAAAACATTAGGTCTGTGTATGACATTCACCGAGTGTGTCTGGCTGACGTCATGTTTACATCCGCGGTACCGATAACGCCGAACCTCATCGGCAGGTTTCGGTGTGGACTTTTTAAGTTTTCAAGTCTAGGGGAGAGAGGGGCTGTGTCTTGGGCAGCAGGGTCAGCAGCGGTAACTAGGGAAGCGGAGGCATATGAAACATGGAATTTTCAACTCAGGGAGCACAGTTCTATGGCAGAGAGGTATAAACTCACTTTCTCATTGGTACACCGTTGTACAGTCTTTACGGTGAGATACCCAGAAATGGTTTTCAGCAGTTTCATAAAAATTGAATCACATTGCTTTAAAATTGAGTGTATTTCAAAAAGCTAGTGACCAAGTTTTAGACCTGTCTTCTTTCCTGATCCTTTTCTAATATTAACCTTTTTTTGATATTTCAAATAATTGTTAATTTCTAGAGATATACATACATTTTAGATAATTTTCTAAAATGAAGGTTTACTATTAAAGTACATTTACTTACATGACAGTATGTTTAAGTTAGAAAAATAATATTTCTGTAATAATTTGAGTCTTCTTTGTATGTGAATAGAATGGTGACAGTGTCTCTTGGATTTTTAAGTAAGAAATTCCAGTTCCAGTTCAGGGAGATGGCACTGCCAGAAGGTGCTTGTCTCCAACCCAAATGTCCTGATCCATAGGACCTACATGGTAGAAAGAGAGAACCTATTCTCACTTCTCCTCTTGCATGTAATAAAAAATTAAAAAAAAATAGAAATTATAATTTGGTTAAGGTAGAAGTGGCATTTTAGTAGAGGCTTCATTAATCAATGTCAATAACATCTATAGAAAATGCAGGCATTTAATGGCAGATGCTTTTAATTAATTTCATTTTTAACTTTGTACTGACAGCTAGGCAGTGGTGGCACAGGCTTTTAATCCCAGCACTGGGGAGGCAGAAGCAGGTGGATCTCTGTGAGTTTGAGCCAGCCTGGTCTACAGAGCAAGTTCTAGAACAGCCAGAACTGTTACACAGAGAAACCCTATCTCAAAATAAAAAAGATTGCACTAACAATGCACAGCTTGACAGCTTTATGGTACTAGGTGAACATATAAACATGTTTCAACACTTTGTTTTGTAACAATTTGATAATTATAAAGGATTTCTATGTCAAAATGTCCTAATTTTAATTGTAGAGACTCAATTTAAAACTCATAAATCAAGGAAACCAGTTACACATTTATTCACTTTACCTTAGATTTTCTTAAAGTATATTATAATGCATATTTCCTGTATCTGATATTCTCTACATCTTGACATTTGCTCTATTGTTTAGCCATATCCCAAGACGTGCCTACCAGTTTTGAAGGATTTTTGCTTTTTGAGACAGAGTCTCACTCTGTAGACCTGGCTGGCTTTGAACTGAAGAGATCTGTCTGCTTTTGCCTCCCAAGTGCTGAGATGAAAGGCTAGTACCACTATACCAACTCAATTTGGATTATCTGTTTATATGGCAGCAGTGTTGGGGATTGAACCTGTGGGTTCTTGCATGTAAGATTGGCAGTCTACCAACAGAGCTATATATACAACTATACATGGTTTTCTATGCCAGACTACTAGAAAAAGATAGGGTTTTGTTGTTTGTTTGTTTGTTTGTGGTACTGTGTTCAAAGCAGAGAAATGTTCTTTTTAATTAAGTTACAAGTATGTATTTTATATGATTATATTGTGATATAAGTTGCAATTTTGAATGCATACTTCATTAAATTACTTTCTTCTCTTTATCCTTTTCCTAAGCATGTAATTCATAGTTGGTTATTTTGTGCATGTAAATGAGTTCTCTTTTAAATATTTATACATAATATGTTTTGCTTGATCCCCTTGCTCTTTCCAGCTAGTCCAAAAGAGGACATACATATTAAGCACTGAGAAATTTTAAAGGTGAAATAGAAAGTCTTTTTTTTTTTAATCCTTGAAGGATTAGATTCCATTTTGCATTGTAATAGTTACTGAACAAACAGTACTTTGGTGCTGTTAGTAAATGGTATGGTAATTTATTTTACAACAGAAACCCAATTTTCCATCTGATGAGTGACAAGCTCTGTGTAATTGCTGGCCCACCATTATTTCCATTTTCAACATCTTCTCATCCTTCACAATTACAGGATTTATTCTTTGCTGAAGGTGGAAGAGGTGGCGGCAGGCCTTACTGTCTTGGCCCAGTGTCAGGCTGGGGTTCCTTGCCTGGGACTGTATCCCTGGTGTAAACTATACCCTAGAGGTTGGACCAGAGTCAGTTGGCTTCCTATTGTGATTTTCAGGGGATTAGATTATTGAATTATGCTTGCTGTTGCGTATTTAAAAACAAATATAACGGTACAGTGCTGTCAGTAGACTACATAGCATATGGAAGTCATCATCCATTAACACCGGTGCTGTCTTCCAGTCCCTGGCCAGCTAAAACATATGCTTCAACACAGCAGAAAGTTCTTTTTTTTTTTTTCTTTTTATGGGTGCTAGATAAGTAAAACTTTAGTTTATCTTTTCCTAGACACAACTTGGTCTTGTTGATGCCCATGTAGAAGAGAAAAGTTGCTTCCCTGCTATATTCATTCACATTTACTTCATGAAGATAGGACAACTATCTGACTTTCAGGGGTGTTCTTAGCTAACATAGATAGTGACATGAAAACAAGTGCTCACCTAGTCTGAAACAATTAGTAAGTCAAGACTACATGTTTTTTAGTCTTGCATAGATGATAAAAATGAATTTATTTACATTTCTAGGTCATGTGACTACCTTGTTTTGAACTGAAATTCTATAAGAGCAATTTAAAATGTTCATAACTAGCTAACTGCTATGAAATAGGCAGGGACTATATTGAAAGCTTCTGTACTGCAATTTCCAGATGAATCTCAGGCTAGTCCATAAAATTGCCTTTTGCTGTATTTTATCATTTATAGACTTTTATCCAATATTTCTAAATTCTTATTAGGGACATCATGCCAAGTTGCTTAAGTTCAAGTACAAGGTTATTGTCCTTTAGATACAAAGTGTGATTGCAATCTAACATTACATTTTCAAGTAAAGGGGTATGTCAAGAATCCTCTTGTTTGAAGCATAAAGGAAAGGCGTTTACGTCAACCTGTGGCTTTTAGGCAAAGCTTCTTGGGGCAGAGCATGTATAAGAAATAGCCACTTAAGGAAAGTATATTTCAGACAGAGAAGTAAAGCAAAGAAGTGGAGAGAAAATATGAGATTGAAGCATGACGAGAAAGGGAGCAAGGGTATATTGAGCTCCTGGGTCTTTGAGTGTCATGCTACAAAGGATTTTAAGTTATATAGTTCCTGAGGCTAATAAAGGCAACTATTTCCAAATGCTTTTAGTATTGTATTCTGTAATCTCTACATTCATGAGCTCTTTTCATTTGATAACCTTGGAATGAATATTACAATGAATAACTTTTAAGTTGAGTTGGTTAGAGGTTTAGAAGGATGTTTATTTACTGTTCATCATACTGGCTTTCTCCATTCAGTTCAGCCAAGGCACAGATCAAATCTAACAATTCTTTCTCTTCCTTCATTGATTCATATCTGAATTCTTATTGTAATTATTATAATGGGAGTTAATGAAAAAACTGGAAAGAGTATGACATCATACTAGTGTATGATTGAAATCTTACTTGTATCTTCTGTTATGCATTTATGCCTTCTGGCACTGTGTCTATAATTGCTTACAAACACACATTTACTAAGTCCCTTAAGATATTTTCATTGGTGTAGTCTGATGATAAAATATTAAATGATTTCATTGAGTAAGATATATTGGCAATTTTGTAAATTTAGGATGTTAATATTCTTGTTAGAATTGGTTATAAGTCTATAAATTGTAGAAGAGAAGATCTATGGATTGTTTATTAGAATTGAGAATTGGGTGGTAATTTTAGGACATACAAGGAGAGACAGAACTGATGGGTAGCCTGAATGTATATTACATGACAGACAAACCCTGTTTGTGAAGATGTTAATGGATAGAGATGACATTTGTGCTCTATTATAGGCAAAATTGGCTAGAGGAGGAGAAATAGCAAAATATCTGGACTGACAGCTCTTTTAAGTAAACAGAAGGAGGCAAACAAGAAAGCTATATGGATCCTTAAACAGATTTCAATACAGGTATATTAGCAATAGGTAAATGTGCCTACAGTCTAGTCTCTTGAAATGTCTTCTTCTGAGGCAAAGTTTGTATCCCAGGAGATACAGAGCCATAATGAAATGAGTCATAGCATCAAAACTCATTTGCATATTTAAATGTATTTGGAAAACTGCAATTGCCCAACATTGTTTTTAGCTACATCTATTGTCATACAAGTACCTGTGGTATGTTCATCCATTATAATGGCCATCAGTTCACGTGAGTGTTACAGAATTCATTAGGGTATGAAGTTAATACATGCAAAGACCAATTATGGAAGTCCTTTAAGTGGGCTGAGCAGTAAGATCTGATTTAGACTGTCATTATGCATTTCATTTTTATTAAAAAGAAAAAAGAAAACAAAGTTCCTTTTCTCCTTATATAACTAAATAACAAGCCAAAGTTAATTCTCATTAGGATACTTGGGTCTCACATTTGAGCTCTTAAAGGGTCCCAGTATTGAACTTTTCTCACTACCCACTGTGTGTGTATGTGGAATTGTCCTTTGAAAATTTCATAAATGTATGCAATGTATCTCAAACATATCCATGTCCACTCCCTCCCTCCATCTTCTCTTTAGAACTCCATCTCATCTCCCTCCTAACTTGATGTCCTTATTTGTTTGTTTGTTTATCTAATCTCCCTGAATCCAGTTAGTGCTGTCCATATATGCATAGATGTGAGGTCATCAACATGGGAAATCTATCAGTGACCACACTCCTAAAGAAAAGTGGCTCTCCTTCTCTGATAGTCATCAGCTACTTACTAATAGCTTCTCGGCTAGGGGCAGGGCCGTGGGATCCCTCCCCTCCATGCTGGAACTTTTAAGGGCTTGATCTTGTGTAGGTGACATGTGAGCTGATGTGTACAACAGCCATGTCTTTTCTTGCCAAAAGGACAGCATTTCACAGCACTCTCCTCCTCCTCCAGTTCCGAAATGTTCCTGAGAAAAATATGAATTTTAAAGTTACTCACTTACTTATTATATAGAGTTAAAAGTAAGTTTAGTCAAAGAATGATTAGTATTTTTTATGTAACATTGAACAGCATACTGATTTTTATTTGGTATATAGCCTGAAGTCGTTCATGGTCTCTGCATGAGATCTGACCTATGATTTGGATAATGAAATGCAAAGAAAAAATTTGAAGCCTTGAAAAATCTGGCAAATAATGGCTCTCGAACTTATTTATCATACAATTTATAAACTTTTATATCTTTACATTCATACTTATTGAGGTAAAAAGTAATCTTTGAAAGTGTGCTAATATGTGGGTTTTAGAATTTATGAATCCAGCAGGTTTTTGCAGTGCTTTTAAAGCTATAAATCATGCTTAATTGAACATAAATCTTTGATGCCCTAAAAGGATATTACCTCTTGAAAACTGGGAGTAGAAAATGCTTATTCATAAAATGTTTATTAGTTTTAGTTTCTATGAGGCAAACATACTAGAATCTAAAATCTATATGAAAGAAAAATGAAAACTCATAAACTTGTCTCTCTGATTAATTGCTATGTTTTTGTTGGTGAAAAGTGTTGGGAGGATAGCCCAATTGTGTCAGTGATGAGGCCTGTCCCTCTTCTTTGTGGAAATGAGAATAATATAAGTGTAATCATAAGCATGGACTTTTAAGTATAGGTACAAACATTGGATTTTAAATTTTAAAATCTTAGATTCTAAAATTCAAAGGTGGTACAGAAAAGTCTTACCCTAACTGTATTGATTTTTCAGATAATATAATGTGACCAGTGAAACTGCATGTCTTCAGAACTAAGAAGGTATGAAAAAGTTAACTGAGCACCAGGTGGAAAGGCACAGGCCTATTATCCTAGCATTCAAGAGATAGGATTATAACTAGTTCAAGGTGAGCAGGGATTAAACAGAGTTTTCTAGGCTAACCTAGCCTGCATAGTGAGACCCTTAAAAACAAACAAACCAGACGACTGCCCACTTTGGTCATTTTCTGCCAATATTGTCACTTGTCTTTTATGTGTTTTTACATTTCTTTTTTCTTATAAGAACACTAGTCTTAGTGGATTAGGACCTACATTAATGGTCTCATTTTAAGTTATCACCACCTTAAAAGCCCTTATCTGAAAAAGCAGATTCAGTGTCAGGTACTTGGGGTTAATATTTCACTAACAAATACAAGGAAGATGTAGTTTGGCTTATAATGGTAGCTGTTAGGATTTGAATATACTTTGTCCTCTAAACTTGAGTTGAATTCCCATTGTGAGGTGCTTTCCTTCCCCTTTGAAGACAAGGTTTTGTTGTGTAGTCCTGGAAGACCTCATACTTACTGTATATTTCAGGCCAGCCTCAACTCTTAGCAATCCTGCCTGCCTTCAGACTGGTTTAGCCTCTGAGTGCTGGGGCTATAGGTGTGAGCACCATCACACCCAGCCATTGTGAGGTAGTAAGAGGATGAGGACTTCGAGTCTGTGGTTAGAGTCACTGGGAAGTGATTAGGATTATTAGATAAGGTCCTTAGGTTAGAACCCCCTGTGGTGATGAAGCATCTTAGTGACTTTATGAAACAACGAGGGAAAGAGACCAGGCATGCACACACTTCTTGTCTCTTGCCATATGATGCTTTGTGATATCTTGGGACTCTCCAGCAAGAAGGCCACCATCATTTGAGGATCCTTGGCCTTGTACTTCCAGAACTGTAAGCTAAAATGAGCACATTTTCTTTATTATTAGTTCAATGACTATATTGGACTTCCAATATAGTAACAAGAAGCAGACTGTACAGCCTTCTAGTTGGAATGAAGAGTAAATGGAATGCAGACCTAAGAGCATTTCAGCTCAGATGTTTGTTTTTCGGGAGACTGCATTGGTAGTCTTACTCCTAGAGATGTATCTCCAACTACCTAGAGAAGTGTTTTTCTGCAGGGCCAAAGGTTACAGAGAAACAATTTACAGATCTGAAAATCGAACAGAAAACTGTATTCTAGACACACTGTCTGTTTGCTAAGTAGAAGATAGTAGTTGGCATTTGAATGAAGCAAAATGAAAAAACAGTTGCTCTCAAGCAGGAAGTGTTGGGATGTGGCAATGGGAACACTCTAGAAGGCTATAGGAGAGTGCTAGTAGAATAATCCTTGGTCTTTCATTAGGCAGAGAGTCCACCATAATTACATGAATTCAGTTACTATGAAATAGTAGTTTGATAGTAAAATTTAATAAAGTTTTAATATCAGTTAATAATTCCATATTAAAACTAGTTACATAAAGTCTCAAAAGTTGCAGACAGTATGAACTTCAGGTTTGGATTTGAACTCTGGGTTAGTAATTTGGTTATGATCAGTCTCTGGCCCAGCAAAATGATTGTGTTTTCATGCATGGCATACTCAGTATTGGGCTCTGCCGGAGGAAGAGCTAATTCGTAAGGTGCAGGGGAATTTCTAGATTCAGTTTGCAAAGTAACCAATCCATGAACAGATCCTATTTCTTGTATTTCAGGGGACTGTAATATAATTCACAAAATGTGAATGTGCCACCAAGTTTGTTTTGGCCATATGAAGTTAAAACAAAAGTCATTACATTGCTATACTAAATTACACAGGTGTGTGAAAATTGTAGCTTTAAAGAATAATAGTTCACAGCTAAATAAAGTGATCACCTCATTTCATTTTTGTCATAATGATTTCTTACTGTTTTTATAGTAATGTCATTTGGGAATGAAGTCGGTAGCTTTGTTTAGGTGCCATAGAGGAGGTGGTACCAGTTTCTGTCTGTGTGTGCTTCTGGTGTTTTTTTTTTTTTTTTTTTTTTTTTTTTTTATAGCATAAACTCC